TGTGTTCCTTGTTTCCCATCTTTTTATCAATTTCATTTCCCTTTTTCCTTCTTCCTCTTTTCTTTCTCATTCTTTTCCTCTTCTCTTCTTCGTCTTCTTTTTCTTTATTTCTTTTTTCCTTCTCCTCCATCTTCTTTTTTCTTTTTCTTTTCTATTTACTTCTTTCTTCGTCGCCGTCGTCGTCAGCCCTCCCCCTATCCCCCTCCCTTTCCTTCCCCCCCACCACCGACCCCTAACGCCCCCTCCCCTCCCAACCCCCCTCCCCTATCCCTCCCCACCCACCGACCCCTCCTACTCCCCCCCCTACGCGGCCCCTCCCACCCGCACGCCAACCCACGATGAAACTACTAAATAAGATTTCTCTTTACAGGTGAACAGCCCGGAGTGGGTTCGCCTTTGTGCCGCTCCCTCGTTAGGCGATTGACGGCCTATCCCTCGCCGTCTTTTCCTCAAACGGGATAGTGCTGTCATGTCCCCTTCCCCCCTTCCTTCTCCCCCACCTCCTCTCCTCCTCCTCCTCCTCCTTCCACCTCCTCCCCGATCTCCTCCTCCTACTCCCCTCAACCTCCGCCTCCCTCCTTCCCTCCTCCTCCTCCTCTCCGATTACCTGCTCCTCCTCCCCTACCGTCCTCCTCCTCCTCCTCCTACCTCCCTCCTCCCCACATCCTCCTCCTCCCTCTCTCCCCTACTCCCATCCTCCTCCCCCTACCGTTCCCTTTCCTGCCTTCCCCGCCCCTTCCCTCTCCTCCTCCTAGGCCCCCCTCTGCCTCCCTCCTCTTCCTCCACCTTCTCCCCCAACCTTGTTAGAGACTGGGGCAGAACCTCGTAGCCGCGTCTCTCTCGCTCCTTTCCGAGATTCCGCGAGATAAACGGTACTATTATCATTTTATCAATATCTTTTGGGCGGGAGGAGGAGGGGGGGGAGGAAGAGGAGGGGGGGCGGATAAAAATTGGTTTTCTCCAGGGCGGTGGGCGTGCTGTGGGCGGCTTTTCGAAAGAGAGATATCGATGCTGTTTGGGACGTGGAGCACATACAGACATATGGATATATACACACATAACAGACACAGATAAAAGACGTACAGACCATACAGACGCACATAAAGGCATACAGACCTACACAAAGACATACAACATACAGACATACATAACGTACATAGAGACATACACATACATACAACAAGTACACCTAATATACATAAACACACAAAAATCGAGAAAACCACGTACTTTTTATTTTTACGAAAACGAAAAAAAAAAAAAAACGGGAACAGAAAACGAAAAAAAAATCAAATAAAACGACAGAGAGATAACGACAAAAATGATAATTCCCAGAGATAATCTGCGTCGGTCATTTTCTGGCGGTCTCATCAATCATCAATCATCAATCATCAATCATCATCATCATCATCATCATCATCAATCAAATCAATATCATCATCAATCATCAATCATCATCATCATTCATCATCATCATCATCATATCATCATCAATCATCATTATCATCATCATCATCATCATCATCATCATCATCATCATCAATCATCATCATCATCATCATCATCATCATCATCATCATCATCATATCATCATCATCATCATCATCATCATCATCATCATCATCATCATCATCATCGTCGTCGTCGTCCTCAAGCAAGACGGGTTCGGGGCAATCTCGAGGAGGTCGTCTTGAGGCTGAGCTTAAGATGGGTTAATGAGGAAGGTGAGAGAGGGAGGAGCGCGGGCAGGCTGGCGGCGCTATCGCTCCGTCTCAACGGGTTTGCTTTGTTATTTTTCTGTTTTTTTTTTCTGTTTTTTTTCTTGTCTGTTTGTTTGTTCGTTTTCGCTCTGTTTGTTTGTTCCTTTTTCTTCAAGCTTTCATTTTTCTTCTTTTTTCTTCTTCCTTCCGTGGAATTCATGTTCCATATTTTCCTCTTTTTTTTCTCTTCCTTGCCTTCCTCCCTCTCCTCTCTTCCTCTTCCTCCTCCTCTCCCTCCCCATCCTCATTTTTTAACCTCCCTCTTCCTTCCTTCCCACTCCCTTCCTTCCCTCTCCCCTTTCTTCCCCTTTCTCCTTCTTTTCCCTCTCTCCTTCTTTCCCTCTTTCTCCTTCCTTCCTTCCTCTCATCTCTCCTCCCTACTCACATCCTTCCTTCTCTCTCTTCTTCTCCTCCCATCCTTCTTTCCTCCCTTCCTCCCTTCCTTCCTTCCCCCTCCCATCCTTCCTTCCTCCTTCCTCCTCCTCCTTCCCTCCCTCTCCCCTCCCATCATTCCTTCCTCCTCCTCCTCTTCCTCTCTCGCCTCCTTTCCTTCCCTCTCATCCCTGCGCTCCTTCCTTCCTCCTCCCACCATCTTCCTTCTCTCCTCCCCTTCTTTCCTTCCCCCTCGCCTCCTCTTCCTCTCCCTTCTTCCTCCTCCCCACCACCTTCCTCCCCTCTCTCCCTTCCCTCCCAACCTTCCTCCCTCCTCCATCCCTCCCTAACCCTCCCCCCTCCTTTCT